TATTAAACAAAATAATACAATAATACAAATTATTATTTATTAAAATTAATAATATTACAGTATTAAAATTTTTAAAATTAAAAAAAACTAAATACTTTTTTTCTTCAGAATTTAAACATAACTGATTGAGTTTTGCACCCTCCTTCCTTAATGCGGCATCTGACTTATTCTGTAATAATGCAGCTAATGTTCGCATTGCTAGATGCAAATCTAGTATTCTTTTCCAGGCCAAATAAGACGAGCTCCACCTCGTCTTACAATCCATTAATACTTCAAGAGGGCTAATTGTTTCATTATCCTGAGGTAAATTTGCTAAATTGATAAGCATTTGCGATTCTCGTAATCGCTGTGCTTGTTTTGGGAGACAAAAAATGTTTGGATACTTTTAAGTCGCCAATGAATAGACTTAACTTGCTTTAACCCTTCTTTAACAGACAATTGAAGAGTATGTGCAACACAAGGTTGTCAGCTAACTTTTAATAAATGAACCTCATCCAATAACCTTATTCCCTTTACAACATTGGCACCATTATCGGTAGTAATTATACACACTTTATTGTCAAGATTCCATTCACAGATTATATTATAAAGTTTATTACTAATGCTTTCACCATCATATGGATAAGGCATATGATGACACATAAGTAATGCTTCCCGAAACTTAAAATCAGGCGTAAGCCATGTCACAGTAACACCCAAATATCCATATTTGCTTTTTGCTGTCCACAAATCTGTGGTCAAATAAACAATAACGGCAGTTTTAGCTAACAATTCCTGAAGCTGATCTATTCCTGTATAATATGCGTCAGAAATATATCCTTTAATGCTAGTTGCACAAGGTATCCGATACTGGGGTTGAAATCCTAAGAGCATTCGGCGAAAAGGTAAACATTTTAAAATATATAAAGGTTGTACATCGTACACAATAAATTCTACTACATAATTTGTAAGCTCATATTGTCGCTTAGGTGAAAGGGTATTAATGTAATTTGTAATTTGTAATTCGATTAACACGTACATTTGGCTATAAATATAATAAATAAATTATTAGACCTTGTAGATATAAAATCTGAATAGGTTATCTAGTATTAAAATATTTACTTTCTTTTCAGAATCAAGGTAATCCTTATAATTTTTGGCTGTAATATTGTGCTTGTTACGAAGATGTTGTGTTAAATTTCCTGTACTACCACCTGACTTAGTATATGGATAAGGACTCTGTTGAGACTCTTCTAACTCTTTGATGCAAATTTTGCAATACCTAATTGTATTGTCTACTTTATCATATTCAAAAAAAAATTTGTGTAGCTTGCGTTTGCTCTTAGAGGTTTTGTTGGGGCAGAGGTATTTGATGAGGTTGATGAGGTTGATACTGTTGTACTGTTAGAAGCTTGTCTTTTTTTTCGGCTAACCTTAAAAGTTCCAGTAAATTCATAATGTCTATTAGAAGCAGAACTATGTGTTGTCGAAGAAGTATCATCTGTTATTGGAGGCAGCGGTGATAAAGATTGTTCTTGGGACTCTTCCCGGGAAGACATTTTTTTTTTTTTTTTTTGCTGTAGCATGATATAACCCAGTTTATATATAATATTGATATCTGGTGTTATAGTACTTATTGAACGGAACTTCACTTATCATGATCTTTCTTTTATAGATTATTAATCAATCATTATAAGCTTGTTAAGGAAACCACCCATACCTTTTAACTACCATTATTTAATTCAAATGATCTTACGTATGTATGTACAAGTATACTTCACATATACAAAAAGGCATTCAAGTTAAAACCTGAAAAGTCACATTTCACATAATGATATTGTAGTACTAACGTTAAAGGAAATTGCTAACACTTATATCTGGATTTATTATATAAATCCGGATTAAATATAAATTCAGATTTATATAATAAACCCGGATTTATATTTAATCCGGATTTATATTTTTCAAAAATTGAATTCAGATTTAAAATAAATCCGGTTTGATCCGGATATAAATATAAATCCAGATTCAAATATTAACTCTAACTATATACACGCGAAGCTTCCAAATGGCGCGTATAAATTAAGAGAATTAAGTGAAAGTGTATTAGCAGCACCATTGAATAAACAATTACTAAAGCCTTACTTTGAAAGAAAAGATATAAATACCCAACTAAGAATGTAGCAATCAAATCTTCCATCCATCAAGAACAGATAGAGAAAAATGAATAATAACCCAATCGTAGCCCAGATTCAATTTGACCAAAATATACTCAACCTTGACCCCATTAATTCTATACCCTGTTCTTATAACTTTGACCAAGATGTTGCTACCCAAGTCTCTCTAACTCTTCAACAGTTACTCCTAGCCAGCAGAAGGGGAGAACACGTTGAGACCTTAGTCTACGCGTACTATCTGAGTTCTATACTTGATGCCTTGCCAAAGACTCAAGTCAATAGTCTCAAGAAACTTGTCTCCCGACACTATGAAACTACTGCCCATAGAACCTACCATATTTTTGCAAGATTTGGGGTTGAACAGTTACACTGTTCTACCTTCACCACACTTACCAAAATTCGGCAACTGACCAATGCTGAATTTCAGTTCCTCCTTTAAACTCGTGGTACTCGTTAACAAGTATGGAGGGATTGTAAGGGGTGGTCAAATGCCCTTAGCATATTTTTTTTCATTTATTTTTCTTATTATGTATTTTGTATTAGGCTTCGAAGTTGCCTTTTTAGTAAATTAGATTAAGATTAGCATAACCGGTTGAGGACTGGTAATTATAACCGAACATCCTTACCTTATTTAGGATGAACACGAACATTTGGACATTTGAACATTTGGACATTTGGACATTTGAACATTTGAACATTTGAACATTTGGCATTCCTTAAAATATTCAAATGTTCAAATGTTCAAGGCTTGGCAAGAGAAGCCATAATTAAAATTAGAAAACCCGTTGTATTTTCTTGAGCGCGAAAGCTATAAAAGCGCTGACTTTTTGCCCTAATAAAAAAAAACTCAGTTGAGTTACAACTTCGAAATCATCATAGTAGAAGTTTGTTCCTTAAAAAATTATTATTTTCTTTACCCAAAAACGTTCCCTAAGCAATTCAATAAATACTTTTCCCTGACCCGATCTCTTGTTAAGAAATCATAACCAATCATAGAATTTGGTTGCGATTGAGTTAGAGCCTTCGAAATTAGAGTAGAAGTACTCACTCTACGTTTTTCGCCTTTTTCTTTGAAGTTACAACCATTCAATTGCTAGTTACATTCATAAAACTCATTAGTAGTATAGGAATTGTCGCTTATAACAAAAACATTCCAAAACACCTTTGTCCCGAACCCATTACCCTTATTTGTAAAACACATTCGAACCAATAGCTTAGTTAAGGTTGAATCTTTGAAATTCGAGTAAAAGAGTTCACTCTAAGCTGATTACCCTGATTCCTTTATTAGGAGTTACTTACCCGATTAAATTGATAGCTACATTTAAATACCCTGATATTAGTTTAATATCGCTTATAACAAAACCCATTACCCGAAAGAGAACCCAAGTTTGCATTATTTCACCTCTTTTATAGTAGATTAGCTTGCTAACCCCGTGATCCATTGTTAGCGAACAATAAAGACCGATCATCGAAATTACCCGTGATATACAGATCTCGTGACATCATCGGTAAAATCGAAGATCCGATCCCGATATTAATTACCCGTGACGCAAATTGACAATCGTAGATTAAATTAAATTACCGAGCGCCACCCGAAATCGAAGACAGTACTTCGAAATAGTAGATAAGAATTGTTATTAATAATAATTCTCGATACATTAAAGAAAGATTGAAAGTCTGACAACAAGGAAGACTTATCGGAACCCGGAGAAATCACTAAAACCCGGAAAACAATATTACAAGGCCCGAAGAACCTTAAAACCCGGACCAAATCTTTCCACGCCTCTTCCGAAGCCTACCATCTTAAGATTTTAGGAGCCTTAAAGTCAAAGAGCAGATTAATTTAGAGTTTAGCTTAGTTAGATTAGATAGTTTCGTCCAAAATCGTTAGTCACGCCTTTCTCACCACACATAGCACATGACTGCATTTTTTGGTAAGAAAATTAACCAATCACACGAATACCTCCTATGAATTTACTATTTAAAGTTATGTAGTACAGTTTTTACTTTTATCGTTATTACATACAAATGTACAACTTTTTTATAAAAAAAAAACTAACGCTAATTACTAGTCTCGCCCAAAAAATCAACAAAAATTTTTTTTCCACAAATTGTAATTTAGTTATCGATATTGCATGTATAGGTTTCAAAATTTTATCGAGAAAAAAAAAATTGTCTCTTACGCCTCATATTAGTGCTCTTTTCATCATATTTTGAAATATGAACGGTCAAGAATTCTGCATTCTTGGTTGGAGGTACCAGTTCGGCATCGACACTGAAAAGGACTTGGAAAAAGCATTCGAATGCTACAAGCAGGCCGCAGATTTGGGAGACGGAGAAGGAATGTTTCAGGTGGCAGAGTTCTACCATTTAGGTATTTATGTAGAAATAGATAGAAACAAAGCATTTGAATATTTTTTGAAATCTTCTGAAGCTGGATTCAGGATGGGGATTCATAAAACTCGTTTGTATGATTACAAAACACATCTCTATCATTTAAATCGTCGCAATAATTTAAATCGTAATTCTCAATATGTAGCAAATGTAAATGTTCAAATTGTCAAAAATACAATACTTATTATAATTGGTGTTTTGATTGCGAACCAGATTTAACTATTCAAAAATGGACAAGTAAAAATAGAAAAATTGATTCATTTATAAAAAGAATTCAAATTGAAATTGAATATTATAGTGGTATGATTGAATGGATTCCATTTGATAGATTGAAAAATATAGGTATAATTGGTCAAGGAAGATTTAGTACGGTATTTAAAGCAACTTGGATAGATGGGATACGAAAATCTGACAGTTCACGAGTATCAGAAAATATGGTCGCACTCAAAACTCTTAATAACTTACAAGAATTCGAGAATCACGTTAAATGTCATCTCAATTATTCATGCCTTAAAATATATGGGCTAACACAAGATCCTGAAACTAATAAATACCTAATGGTATTTATGTATGCGAACGATGGAAATCTTCATGACTATTTAGGAAAAAATTGGAATAAACTAAAATGGAAAAATAAAATTGGAATCCTTAGATATATTTCAGACGACTTAGTAAATATACATAGAACAAATTTGATTCATGCAGATCTTCATAGTGGAAATATTTTACAAAATCATTTATCATCTTTTATTTCAGATTTGGGTCAAACTAGATTGATTGATGAAGAAAAGGGCACGATTTACGGTGTTCTTCCGTATGTAGCTCCTGAAATCTTGTGCGGTAAAAAATTAACACAAGCTGCAGATATTTACGGGTTTGGGATTATAATGTGGGAATTGGCTACAGGACAGAGACCATATGATGGTTGTGAATTTGATATTGGTCTCACATCGAGAATTTGTAACGGACTACGTCCTGAATTCGATGAATACGTACCAGAATGTTATGTTAAACTAGCTAACCAATGCATGGATTCTGATCCCGAAAACCGACCTACTGCCAAAGAAATTAAAGTTAAAATTCGTCAATGGAAAAATTCCGTTGAAATCCTGAAAAAATTTGAAGAAGCTGATGAACATATACCTCAGTTTCTAGACAGCATCCTAATCACATTTATACCAGCAAACTCATCAACACTCGGAAAAAATGTCGGCAGAATTATATTTATAATAGACCAGAATTATCTTAATGCCTCACTACTTCGGTTTTAGTCACACTTGTGCTACCCTCCTAATCAAGATCCCGGTTACACTCCCTAGTAGAAATATAGGATGAATGTTGTAAGGGCAAAAAAACGGTCGAGTGGATGAGTCTTATCGTTATGTATGGATTATTAGCGTGTAGTTAATTTTGTGCAAATGTAATTTATAATACACTTTTGTGTTTGTATATAAAGAACTTTTACAATAATTAATGTAGATTTAATTTATTTAAAGCTAAATATTTTAACAAATTGTTTTTTTAAAAAAATTACTAATTTAAGATTTTTATAAAGTTTTTTTGGGCCCTTATATGTAGGGTTGTAAAATTACGGTAATTTATAAAATTTTCTAGTTAAGTTAATGCTGGCCGAAATTAATAGTAATTTGGTAACCTACCATTAAATCTTATTATTATGGTAACTACCGGTAACTTACCTTGGTAACTTACGGTAAGTAGGGATGTTACGGTCAGGTCCTGGTTCAAAAGACCGGGGTCATGCTCAAAATTTTAACTTAGTTAGTGTCATATTATACTATCATTATTCTATGTATTTCTTATTTTGGTATAGTTTGTGTCATAGTTGGGTGATCGAAACCCCAAGCGAGGGATTGAAACCCCAAGCGAGGGATTGAAGCCCTCAGTGAGGGATTGAAACCCCAAGCGGGGGATCAAACCCCATACGAATTTAAGATATATAAGGGTGTGGTTTCGGAATAATGGTCGTCAGAACAGTTGTTGCTAGTATTTAGTATTATTATGATTGATTTATGTTAATAAAGAGAAACCTTAACCTGTAATTGTGTTAGTTTATCGGTTTAACCATTCGACCTTAATCACTATTTGTTCCCTATCGAAGCTAAATTGGTTCAAGACTCTGTAAAGTTCTCCCCCCGGTTGTAACACCGGTTTAGCCTTTGAACTGCGGATCGGACCGAAGGATACAAACCGGTCTATTTGAAGCTCTCTAATTGGCTGCTTCAATTAATATAATTTTTCTGCTAAGAAATCCGAACTCTGTTATATATTACAGTCAGTTCCTAATAAATAAACAAATTTATTATACGTGTCGTGCTAAATTGGAAATGTCATAATAAATAATGATTTACTATTGATATACAGACCAATTCCTAAACCGGTTCAAAGTTAGGAACCGAAGACCGATTGGACCAATTGATAAACCGGTTATAAACTCGATCTTTTTGGACCGTAATATCCCTAGTGGTAAGTTACCACTAATACTAACAACCCTGCTTATATGTAATTCCTCTAATTAAAATTATTTACAAATCTTCTTTTAGATTATGGCATCAACAAAAAAAATTAATAGAACGATTTTGGTCCGCAAAATGCTTCAACTATATCTCGAGGGTGATGCATCTAAAATTTCCCAAATGATCGACAAATTTGACCGGAGTTATAACTGACTAGTATTATAACCCGTGCCTCCGACACGAAAAAAAGAACTCTAAATATGCACACTCCAATTCAGACCAAATTATAGTACAGTAAAACCTCTATGAGTGCACACCCTCTCTAAATGCACACTCAAGTTCTGGCCCAATGCACTTCATATTGGTCTATAAGTGTATATATCTTGGTCCCAAGAGCGTGCACTTACTGTATATATGACCCCTACGAATGTCACAAATGTATTTTTATTATTATTCTCTAAGTGCATATTAAAGTTTGGTCATTTGGAGATCTGACTACAATTAAAATTTTGCCTCTGATCCATTGAGGTGCTTAAGAACAATTTAAATTATTAATAAATTACTAGTCTAGGTAGCATTGCAAACTTAATTAAATTAATTTTGTATTATAAAAGCTAAAATCAAAAGCAAAATATTTTAGCGTATTTAATTACAAGAAATGTTGCAAATATTGAAATTAATTTTTACAATATTTATGCTAAAATCATGCAAAAATGAAAATTGGTTTTACATTATTATGCTACGGTCAAACATCACTATAGTCACCTCCTATATAAGCACTTTTTTAAAAAAACAAACTATTTTTGCCCATCTTGTTATCTGTAATACACTATTCTAATGCATTTTAAATTATCGCTGTTTTCGAAATGGTTGAGAATAGCAATATTTTCAAAAAAAATTTTTCTTGCGAATACCCGATTAGTTTAGAACATTGATCACATTGATCGATTTCCAACTATGAAAAAGTAATTATTATATTAAGCAATTACTCGCTTAATTTATCATTAAATAAAGGTAGCTGAAATCTATCTTTGATCAATGTGATCAATGTTATAAACTAATCGGGTATTTAAGTGTCGGGTATTCGCAAGAAAAAAAAATTTATTTGAAAATATTTCTATTCTCAACCATTTCGAAAACAGCGATAATCGATTAGTTGGTCAATCGATTAATATTTGGTTTATTTAGCCAATCGAATAGTTGTCACTAAACGATTAATCGATTTTCGATTTGGATCACTACTCATGAATAACGAAAATAATAATAATTTGGAGACAAATTTTAGTCAATAAAAGCTTTATAAGTTTTTGCGCACCAAATAATAAAACATAAACAATTATTATTTTAAATATACTGTACATAAATCCTGCATTATCTGTTATTAGATGCAGTGCGAAGTTAGAAAAAACCGAATAATGATTAAACCAAAAAAGTTTATTATTGAGATTTAGAATGCTTAAAAATCGACTTAAATTAAATTCTCAACCAAATCCATATACATATGCTCTTAGTTCTAACTTAAATACAACAATAATCAGATTATATAATATAGATAGACAATATAATATGGATAGATAATATAATATGGATAGATAATATAATATAGATACAGATAGATTATGCCACAACATTTGATAAGGTGGAATCAACTTGGTCCCAGGCTGCTTTTACCCATTGAGCTACCGCGTTATATGCAGGCCGTTGAATGCGACCTGATAATGCAGTAATGTAGATAATTTTTTTATTGATCTAATAAACGGATAGTTATTTCACGTTGCTCCTGCGCCCACTCATTATTTGGATTAATTCTTAATGACTTATCTAAATCTGTAAATGATTCTTTATATTTTCCCATCATGCGGTAAGTTACACTACGAAAACTTAATGTATCTTCACAATTTGGTCTAATTTCTAATGATTTACTTAAATCTACAAGTGATTCTTCATATCTGCCCAGTTTCTCCACGGGAACATAATGCCCATGCATCATTTGGATCAATTTCTAATGATCTGTTTAAATCTGCGAGCGATTTTTCATATTTACCCATCCTACGATAAGTATCTCCACGATATGTTAATGCAAATGTATCATTTGGTTCAATTTTTAATGATTTGTTTAAATTTACGAGTGATTCCTCATATTTTCCCATCATATAATAGGTATTTCCACGATATTTTAGTGCAAATGCATCATTTTGATTAATTTTCAAAGATTTATTTAAATCCACAAGTGAATTTTCATATTCGCCCACCATACAATAAAGTGCACCACGAACTTTTAGTGCAAATGCATCATCTGGTTCAATTTCTAACGAATTGTTTAAATCCTCAAGCGATTTTTTATATTTTCTCATCATCCGGTAAGTGTTTCCACGATACTTTAATGCACCTGCATTGTTTGGGTCAATTTCTAAAGCTTTATTTAAATCTTCAAGTGATTCTTTATCTTTACCCATATAATAATAAGTTCTTCCACGATATTTTAATGCAAACGTATCATTT